ATTGACAAAACTAATTAATGTCTATTATTTCATATGATGAAGGTATGAATGAATAATCAATGAACGAATTGGATGGAGGTGTATTGAAGAGTGCGATTACATAATCTGCATATTGTATAAGCAATGAATACAAATACATGCAAAAACACAAATCGAGGCAATCAACCAGCGACAGCAAACTGGTTCTGTATACTTTATTCAGTTATTTCCATCGATTACATTCGAAGCACGATATGCCGGATTAGAAACAGCTATGCTAACAGTCTAACTTATCAAAAGGCATTGCTGAACTCAAAACTCTCTTGGGGGCACAAATTTCTTTTACAGACAAACAAAGCATTCGACATACTGAATGAACTCTACTTGAGAGCATAGAAATTTGTCGAGAAGAAGAAAATTGATATAATTCGACGTCCCATTTTTCAATTAAGCATTGCCAGGAGTTGAAATCAAGCACATAAAATTTCAACCTCATTGATGCGACGTGAGAGATTCCGTGAAGCTTCAGAATACGGTTCTCCAAGCCAGCATACTGGGCCCTTATTATCACAATGACTTGTACTCGCTCAAAACAATTTTAGCATAAATATTAGTATTTCATTATTGTGCATTCATTGGAAGCATTTTGATGGTTCTGCATACCGTCACACTTGATGTGACATAAGTCAAAAAATGACTTAATTAGTTTCTGTGGTCGCACTTACCTCCTGCTGCAGCCTTTTATAGCCCCTGACAAGCAGCACTAATGGTTTATCAAACTAGCATTTTTGTTCAATTGCTCAGGTTTTGTTCGAGAGAATTGCAAAGTTGAGGTGCTTATAATTACACCAAGGGATTCATAATGATAAATAAGAACTCTTCTGCGCATTCACAAAGGTAAAAATTAAGCATTTTAAAGACCCCATTACTGATTCATCTAAATACTCTCAATTCACAATTCATTTGATTCATCTGGAAAACATGAGGAAAGTTCCGTTTCAGCACCGTCGCGGACCTCGTTTTAAGGGCAAGTGCAACCGAAACCCTATTAAATAACTAAAAGGTGTATTTCATTTTCAACTTGTGATCAGATAAAAAATTTATGATAGTTGAGAACAAAAGCCGATTGAAACGTTGATTCGAATGACTTTTGATTTACTGCTATCAGGTCTGCCAGCTAGTCTGCACATACCATTTCGTTGCCTTCAGTTCCACTCCATCCAATACGCTTCATTCTGTAGCACGGATAATCTAACCATAAAAACTTCGTTATGCTCCACTTTGTTCATACTTTTCAATTACCAGCACTGTCGAGGAAGTTTTCCCGATGCATATCACAACAATTTAAGCGCACAACTTGTTTATTATTTGGCGCTAATCATACTTTTTAACAATAACTCATCAAAAAAATCCATACGAAAACACACTATGAATACGGGCATAACATACCTGGTAATGACTACAAATGACAATGGTGATAATGGAAACAATAATAATAGTAGTAATAGAAGTAGTAGCAATAACAACAACAATAATCATATAATAATAGTAATAAATAATAATAACAATGATATTTGCAATAACACATTCAAACAAAAGTGATCACAAAGAGCTGTTTTACGCATGTAACCCATGAAAATGTTTTACACATGTAACTCTCTTTGCAAATTATTTACAGTGAAACAGACGATCCATGGGCAACCTTTAACAATCTAATATGCTCTAATACAGGTGAAAAGCCAGAAAAAATGTTCAACGAGACTGCCACAGAAGGAAGAACCTTTCTTCAGCCTTATTACAAACGAAAAATTGCATAGGTCGAATATGAAAGGAATAAAGATTTGAGTTAACTGTATGATTCACACTTAGAATATCAAAAAAACTCATGTTTTTTTAAAAGAACATCATGATACTTTTTGTACTGCCAAAATTTTGAAACTAGATTCAATAATTGAGCATAATCACAAAACGCGTCAAGGTTTGACGGAAATCAAAAATTAATAATTGACCGGAGGCAGAGAGTAGCCCATGTTCGACCGATATATGAGCGGTGCGCTTAATGTGACAAACAACAACACGACCAGTGCAATTCACGTTCCAGTAGTTTTTGTACTTCGCATTTGTTTCGATCCAAAACTTTTCAAACGTACAACTTTATAAGCTTTCCCAAGCAAACTCAATGCATGTTTATCTAAACGACAAAAAACTCGATGAATCAACGGTTAAATGAATCAAAGGATGCAACTGATTGAGAAGTCAATAGATTTATCCAAAGAACATCAGCAATAACTTTGATAATTTCAATTTTTGTGCCCAGTTCCTTGGGAAGAAGGAAATGACATCCAAGACTGTACCAGGGATAATTAGCGCAAAAGGCTAATTGAGATGTCGGATGATATTTCAATGGAACGTCAAGCGTATTTGGAACATAAATCTTTCGAACATCAAACATTCAAGAATGTGGACAGTCAACAAAATTATAAACGAAACATTTGATGACGAATTAAAACGGCGTACCGTACACAATTAATATATTTACAAAACAGATCATTGCTTATACAGGAGCAGATGCAATCTGCTAGCATACCGTATGTCATGAACAAGTGCAGATGTAATCGGACTATTCCGCTGGCAATAAATGAAATTCCACAATCGGACGTTCACCACCCGTTGCAAAAATTAAGCATGAACGATCAAACTGGATAATTTCGTTTTCTATCGATAACACCTCGACACTTGCTATACATAATATCGGAATGACCAAAATCAAAAAAGTTGCACGAAAACGGCGATATTTTAGACTGAAATATAAATGCCAATTTATTATACAATAGAGCAGACCATCTATGAATGAAACTGAGCGAAAAATAAGTTGAATCTGCGGTGAATACATAGTGAGAGATTCTTTGAAGAAATGCTCGCTCATGATTGATGTCTTTCGAGTAATGTCAAGAGAAGAACACTTCATTCAATCCTATTTTATGTCTTCTTGATCAAACTGTATAAGCCGATCGTATATTTTCACATCTTCTAGAATTACATTCAGAATTCAACTGAAAACATTGTCTCATCGGCATACTGAGTGCATATCAACAGCGTCATCAGTAAATCAAATTATGTTCACTACCGCAGAAAGGAAAACAAACAGATGCAGTAAATTACAACGCTCATTCAATAAAACAGACGAAAATAACATTTCAAAATATCAAAAAACAAAATAAATTTAAAAAAATACATCACATATATTGAAAATAGCATTTGTTTGGAACAAAAATATGATTTTAAACTTTAAGTAATCACATAATACTGCAACCCAAACGATCAAATTATTCTATAACAGGATTTGCTTATGGAGAAATGAACATTGGTTTTGAGTGTTCAAACACCACAAAATCGAGGTTTTTTAGTAGTTGATTAATTCACTTGGTCAAAATTCATTAAAATGGAATGACACTCTTATTTTAACTCATCTAGCTGGGGTCAAACACTGATGATTATAATGAGAAAGAAAAGAAAACAAACGATGTTCCAATTCAAAACGGCATAATGTTACAAATCGAATTCAAATCAATTTCAGTTCAGTTATACTCGTTCAGTTGGGAGTCACTCATTGAACCTACACATCTTTCTTTGAATTTAGTCTATATTATATCCGTAGTGTTCTTCTGGTAGAGGATCCACTAAGACTGAATGAGTGAATCAATATACTTAATTGATTTATAAATACAAAAGGTATGTAAATTAGGGAAACAAGATAATAACACGATAACATTCTGATAATTAACATATTGTATCGTAATATTTTGATATCATCAAACTGATGATTTTAGGCACATCATCCTATTATCACTCTACTAATAATACCACATCGACGATATTATCGAAAAGAGGTACACTGCTTTCCACAGTGTCGTAAAAGATGCATAATTACAGTTCAACGAGCACTAACAAAAACCTTCTACACCCACAATCACGACTTTTCAAATAAGCTCACTGAAACTCTTCTCATATGAATTAGAAACGTTATATTTTCTAAATCAATTAAGCGCTCAACAGCATCCCAAACTACGGATTCCTTTCACATAAAACGTCGAGCATGATCAACACTCAGCCGTATGACCAAGTGATGAGATGTTTACAACATAAAAAATACAACCAAAATCCCGTGAACAAACAAATGATAGACTGTTCAATAAATGACAACTCACCAACCAAAATCGAATGCGATTAAAAGCAATGATTTGTGAAAGAGGCATAATAATAGACGTTAGCTATGGTGAACGCGAAATATTTCGCGAAATAATACGACAGCCAAAGTGCAACGAACCGAACACTTTCATTTTTCAGCACTTATCACAATCAATCGTAACAGTTCGAACATGGAAATCATTGCCGATAGACCATCTCTGGATATAAGTTATTTGCTCTGCAAATGTAACCACTTTAAACACATGCTTCAATTCAGATATCACTTCAATGAAAACCGAAATCGCTTATGTGAACATTCGGCACAATAGCTCATTCAATGTTTACAAAAACGCCGAACACTGCTCACACAAACCAATTATGTGTTGTCACAGTGAACAACTGATCGACCACCCATGGCGAAATAATACGCCAATGAGAAAAAGCTAAGCTGATAAGAGATGCCATGTATTGATGCTTGCAAAAAAAGGATTTATTTGGCCAATTGACACCTACAATCCCGATCATCTAATAGTGATTCGATGATCCACTTTGAAATAATTTCAATCATCCACTCATTTATTCGTCTATGAAATAACCGCATTAAATCCTCCCAGAGTCAGGTTCCCTGTGAACACTCCTATATGAAATGAACTTGTGTGCGAAATAAATAAATAAATAAATAAATAACATTGATGGAACCTGCGCAACACCCGTAAAACAATGAGATGTTTGTTTTCTTGATTGAAATTGACGGCAATGACCAATAATCCTTGTGGCGTATTTCATGTTGGAATTAAACGATCGGCGATGAAAATGAATAACAAAACTATTACTTACGCAGCAGCAATATCAATGTTTGGCATTAGCTGTCGTATATTAGCATTTCCAACATCTTCAGCCATTTCGCGTTTGACATCAAGCATTGGACGAACAACCGCACATCGTGTGCTTGGCTTACGAACTGCACTCCCAACTAACAAAGAACCTGATCCAGATGCATTGCTCACCAACGACGAAGTCAGTGAAGAGGATGCCACACTGGTGCTCGATCCAGTTGATGCTCTAAAATACACAGGCGTCAAATTTCGATACATTCATCATCATTATGCATCAACTGGGTGGTCACTGAGTTAATGCATATTTCATCATAATCACTAATCTTACCCTGATAACAAACAGAGCACGAAGCTTGAGAGATATACGTCGAATTTTACTTCCATTTCACTTGAAATACATCAATCAATATCAGTAAAGTATTCAGTGCACGTTTTAAAAAAATTTAATAGCTCAAAATAATCAGATAACTTTTCGATAGATCGATGGATAATCAGCTAAATAACTTTGTGGATCAACCTATTTTACTCACAAACTAACTGAAAATTATAGCACCGATACTAACGAACTTCACATGATTGTTCACTTCATCACAATTAATTGATGAATTTGTCGGTTAATTTCGTTGCAGTTACTTTATATGTATCTTTTTGCACAGATTTTGTTAGAGAACGGCTTCTGAGGAAACCTCACTGAACGAGGCTACATTTGAATAATCAAAATGAAGCACTCAAATTGACAGTATGGAGCTACTGCACATGCAATTTTAAAACACATCCTTGACAAGGAATTGCAACTTCCGAAAATCCTTTTTCTCACGGAAGTAGATGTGACGAACCGTGACATCAGGACAATTGTTCCCGGAAAATTTCCGCGAGAACAGTTGCCCCCTTGTTTTTACGATATTGATCATCGCGGAAATTTGCTCATTCGATCATCACTGTCATTATTACTACCATTACTGATATGGTATTCCTACTCTTAGGTTGAGGGTGGTGCTTAAGAGGTTGACGCTTAGTCTGTGGCCGAGGTTAATGCACGGACTGTTTAGGCTGAGGCTGACGCTTACGCTGTGGCTGAGACTGATGTTTAGACCTAAGCTGAGGTTGATTCTTAGGCTGTGGTTGGAGTTGATGCTTAGGCTTAGGCTTATCTAGAGGTTGTGGTTTAACATAAAGAAGAGTTCCCTATTGTAATTACTTTGAGTCAGTTGTCCTAGAATCGACGACCGAATACTACAAGAATAACTGCAAAATTACGTAACCATTAAATCACACATAGCGCCAAGTGAACAACTGCACACATTTAAATCAAATGGGAAAGCTTATCAACTTGAAGGAAATAAATACGCAGTTTGTTAAGGCTAGTTGATAGCAATAACAAATTGAAATTACACAACAAGCAATTCTACTTATTATTAGTCGATGAAAATTAATAAATTTGTGAAGTCGGATTGCGGGCATTAAAAAAACAAATGAATCGAAAAAAGATGCAAGAAACAGGAGAACACGGAAGATGTTTGCCATATGTGGTAAGGTTTTAGACACCGCAAAATAAAGTGCTACATGGAACAATTATGGGTAATATTGCCTTGGAGAGAAGGAAAAATACCGTTTCAACGAACTTTTTCGTACCACTTTGACGTGAATAATAACGAGTCAAAGACCGTGCAAACGTGAACCAGAGGAAAATGTTGAGATTCAACAGAACACTGTTGCAAGAAAACAGTGCAAAGAATCGCAGTGCAACAGCAGTGTCGCATCACTCATTAAAATGCCCAAATTAATGACAAAGCACACTGCAATTACCTATTTTCTAGGACACCATTCGCTAATTTCTTCGCCTATCTTTCAGCGAGTCTGCATACACTGGAAGCCAGTACATAGCTTGAAACCCAGCTGCACATTGGCCAGGGTGATTCTGGTTGTAAATCATTGATTATAATTAATCACTGAATGAGAAAACAAAACAGAAATCGGTCAACCAGTTTCACAGCAACAACCCGAACGTTTTAATTTTATATTGCTGCAGTTACTGAATCACGACACCAATTAAGAATCACTGAAGCATTACTGCGAATATCTGAGTCGAGTAATAGGTGACTAATTGAATTCATCATCGCACAACGTAATCCCTTCAGACTCTCGCTCATTGCTGAGCACAAAAGAAACAACAACGTTGCATTTCAATGTGTAAACAACAATCATATTATTAAGAGCATTACGGAAGTGATAAACTTCTGCAGTAATATAACAATGAAAAAAAGAGAAGCATCTAAGCTGTAGTGAAGCTATGTACAGGAATACATGGTCTACATTCAGCTGCATTCCAAAACTGTGTGCCAATCGAAAACAACAAACAAAAAGACGATTGAACAGACGAGGTGAATGGAAAATTTTGAAAATAAAGAAAAGAGAAAGAAAATAAAAACAAACCCGAAAGCATGCTGACTTTCATCCTCATCCGAAGATGATAGGGTGATTACGGAAACGGCTGGCGATGGTGAACAGCTACTCTTCACTTTCACGTTTTTCGCGCACCTAAACAATACTCCCCGATTGAAATTAGTTGAAAAGATAGATGATTCTAATAAGTGATGTGATATAACCATAACCATTCTAATTGACTTCACTAATTTTACGTAAATAACAGAAGATATTCTCGCATTGCGTCACTCTAATCAATTATGGACTCATTCAATTCCAATTCATTACGGTCAAATCAAAATTTTGAATGTTATTTGTTCATAGCTTAATAAAAACCTCAACAGTGCAGTAAGACTTAAATTTGTTGGTGTTCTTCTCATCACGACTGCAACTGAATTACCAAAATTATCGCTCAGAACTATTGCAAGTATCCGTTCTGCTACTTAATTGCCTTCAAAAGGAATGTTATCCTATGCATTATTGTACTGACTATGTAAAGGGTCAATAAACGACCTAAAATGACGAAATGCGAATGTTGATTGTTGCGGGTGTGAGTGAAACTGACGAAAATTATAGAAACAATAAAATAGCATTAAGGATTCATACTGTGCTTTGGATTGGGAGTGAGAAAACATAGATAAAATAAAAGCATGCAATCATGAACAAACAAACAATCTGCACACGTGAAAGCCATTCAATAAACTTGCACGAGAGTGATTCAAATGAGTGGAAAATAAAACGTAAATTGGGTGTGCGATTAGAGCGATAAGAGTTTCAACGAGTGAATGAATACCAGATAGATTTTGCCAAGTTTTTCCATGAATGCAAACGACGGCATCAAGTGAACGATTCTGATTAAGAGACAGTAAGAGATAATATCATTACGACGCAATAATTGTACAAACGTTTAAGCATCCAAACTGAAGCTGTTTTCACGCGTTCATGATCGAATTCATACACACTAGTGCTACAGCTGACAGTAATCATCACTGATGGTAATTCAGAGGTTCTATCTTCTTTATCAAATTCGATCAGTTGCTGCCATCTGTTGAATTCTCAGTGTAAAAACATTCAGCAATCATCAACGAGCAAGTGCCACATCAATAAATGAAAACAAGAGCATCTGCCGTCAAATATCAGTGTGAATTTTCCCTTTAATTGAGGGCAATCACTCAATTCAATGTAGAAGAGTATTTTATATGTGCATTATTGACGCTATAGTCCATACACTAAACTGATGAAAGAATCAACTGTCAGTGGCATTTGATCGTGCTTCTCACTAATTGAACACAAACGTATCGTTCGATCATCGCATTGATTTCAGTGGAATAGCATCGTCCAACAGTGCGCAATGATGACAAATATTACTTGAGAATGCATTCAACTAACAAGCGTTTTTGCATTGATGAAGCGTTTTCGCGAATAGAAAAGACTCCATCGTTATTGCATATTGCATTAATGAGACACTTTACGAAAGTACAATCAAATCTAATAAACAACTTCAAACGTCCGCAATTTATTTCATTTTACTCCTCTCAACAGATATTTGCTTTTGTTGCGTTGATAAAATCGAACAATAATCAATTTCAAAAAATAACGCTTCTTCCAAGCGAACATATGCGAATTTTACAAACAAATTAGAAACAAATACCTACCTCGCGGCATCTAAATACTTCGGTGTTTCATTATTATTGCTCAAACGCGGTCCAGTGGCAACAATAGCCGGATCTTTGATGAGTCCATTTTGGGCAGTCCTCAGACGGAAATTGTTGACGTTTGGTACCGCTATGCCGCTACTCGATGTTCCAGCACGACGCGACGGTGGCACGTAGGGTTGTGCACAATAGTCACTACTGCTTGAAGTGCCTGTACGTCTCGACTGCTGTACGTAAGGTTGTGCCCAGTAATCCTGAATCACAACATCATTCTATCGTAAAGCATTCAATGGAACGTTTCTTGATGGTTTGGTATCAATAATGAAATGAAATATACCATTTGTGACTGAGCGATGTTCATTTCGGTAAAATTTTTTGGTTGAGGTGGAAAGATGTGCGAGAACTGTTGTGCTGCAGCCGCAGCAGCGACGGCTGCAGCATTGCGTGACGAAGTGAGCGCCTGCACGGTGGCGGCGTTCGGCAGAAGGAATTCGTTCGGGAACAGCGCTGCAGCCGTTGAAGGTTGCTGTGCGGCTGCGCATGCGGCTGCTGCCGCACAAGCAACTGGCCAAGAAACCAACGGAGCTGCTGGCGGTGCAGACGGCCACCCTGTTGGTCCGGCTTGCGGCAATGCTGATGCTGCAGCCAGCATGCCCGGATCCACTAATGAAACCGGCACGAATTGCGGCATTAGTGCACCGGCTGCCGCATGTGCACCCGTGAAACTGACCAACTGCGTTTGACGTGCTAAAAATTTTATACTTCACTGTTGATGAAACGGAGCCTTTGCAAAATGTTCATTACACTAGTATGAAATTGAACAAGTTCGTTAAAGCAGAATAATCAATAAGTTATGAAGTGATGTGATGGAATGAAAACGATAAGCAAAAAGAGGATTCGAAGAAATGAGTAAGAGGCAGCAACATCTTCGACAAACCATATGGCAGAACAGCGGCCAGTGGTTGGTATATATATGAAGGATTTGCACCCTGTGTACCAGCAACGGCTGCCGCTGCAGCGGCACCGTACTGATTCAGGATATGACTGAAGTCAGTCTGCTGCAACTGTGGTACTTGCGGAACCGCAGGAGCGGCCGCTTGAGCACCGGCAACGGGAGCGGCAAGAATCGGAGCCGTAGATTGTCCCGCGACCGAAGGTGCAGCTTGCGCTGCGGCTGCGGCACCACGATGTTGAAATAGTTGCGACTGAACTGCCGAACGACCGTTACGTACGCACACTTCCATACGTTGTGCACATATTTGAAAACTTCAATTGAAAGCATTAATTTGCATGAAAAATGTAACTTCAATTGAAATCATGACAAAAAGTAACTCCGCTATTCGCTAAAATTGTTTTTGATCTCACCAAAATGATCCGTTAGTGACAACGCCGACGAAAATGTGGCAAAAAGTTTTCGCTAGAACGCAGCTGGCTGAGAGAAATAGTAGCAGTTTTTGCAAATTCTAAGGAAAAATAGCTTACCAAAACAGTAATGAAAGAAAATAACGCAAGTTATCGCTACGTTAAAAAATAGCGCTAAAAATTATTGCCCAGCACTGTTAATTTAGAATAATCCCAGTCATTTGGCAGCATCCAAGGGAAATTTCATACACTGCGTGCCAACGGAAAGCGAATTAAAACAAAGCAATGTTCATACGAATTGAATGAAACAAACGAAATTTTGTTTCACCGTTAATCAATAACAGTTTATAAACGGCAGGCACATCAAGACTACTCAGTGGGTAAAATACGTCATTACAATACGACTCGTATTTCATATTAGTAAATAAAACCAACTATTTAGTTCGAGCGTATTCGACCATACGACCCATAGTAATGAATGGATGATGCAATCCTTCATATGGGTTAATGCGCCTATCTTGATCCATACATAACATCTTCTTTAATACATCAACAAACTCCTGACGATCCAACTTTTCACAAAGCAAATCTAATCCATCCAAATCTGTGGCTATATTAACCTGAAATTGTATTTGATTTGTTAGGAGGAAGATAAGGAAGTTTGACTGGGAGACCCAAGTTTTTTTTATGAAGAACATTCCTTTCAGAAGTTTTGACTGGATGAGACCTACTTCTATATCAATTGGTAATCCAAAATACGTTTTGATTAGACAAGAATAACGACGATATTGACTGAGAAAGATTTTTACTTGCGTACAAGTATCTTATCTTCCAGAACAACCAACTCAAAACGGACGTGGAAATGCAAATCGAACAAATCCCAGACGGCAATGCGAAAGCTTTCCTTCTTATTATCCATTCTTCACATACGAAGGAAATGGCAACCTTTGGATTTTAATGAGTTCTCAACTTTGGATTATGGGGTATTTCACCAACTCGTTATGAATATGAAAGGAAATTCGTAAAAGTATAAAAATGAAAAGAAAAAACAAATGAGAATAAACAAAAATGAGCGATGGATTTGGCTCGCTCACCCGGACCTGAGATACATCGTCGAGACAATTGAAGACATACTTGCGCGTTTCCTTCGACTTACTTGATGTCTCATGCTCATGCTCTTCGGGCGTTTTCAGACGCCAGTAGGGCGCTACGCCGCTATCGTGAATCTTTAACAACAACAACGCTTTAGTATACTTGCTTACAATCAACTTCAATGCGTCGAAACTGATATCTTGTTTTAGAAATCACATAGTACTAACAATATGTACAATACCTGAGGGAAAAATTATGAATGGACACATAAACAGTTTTAAAGAATTGATTCACTTCAAATAAATCGAAGAAACTGCAACCAAAACAGGATGCAGCGAGATTACATAACACGATAGGTGAGAAACACACAAGAAAACAATCTTTTTTTGCAAACAATGAAGATTAATGGAGAATAGAAGAGTGTTCGAACCGATAACCTGTTTGAAAAAACGGTGTGTTTTGGCAGCTGTAGACAGCATTTGAAGCGGTGGTAGGCCTTGCGTTTGAACGATATAGCGAATTTGATCATATTCACTACTACCTGGATACAACGGCCAACCAAGGAATAATTCGGCAATCACGCATCCCAATGACCACATATCAATTGATTCACGAAAGGGTAAACCAAGTATAATTTCTGGTGCGCTGAAATAATGAATAACATCATCAAATGAGTTTTAAAATTTCTACAATGCTATAAGCAATGAAACACTGTAAAGAGTAAATAAAGATTCCAAGTTTGGTTGATATTTTCAGCGTCAGTTTTAATGACAACCTATTATTTTCAATAATACACTATTCAATAAATGAATATCATTCCATCAAACTTTACAAGCTCAATCATATACAGTGGTACCAGTCATGAGGATATTACAGTACGTTTCTACATAATCAAGTATTCTGAAACAACTACATGAGGCTATACTCAGAACTCGTCGTCGAATTTTAGAAAAAAGCGATGAATTTAATTGGAAGTTTTTGAAGCTTCTTTTGATCTATTGCCCTTGTTAACTAGAAAATATTTTTTAAACTTCAAGAAAATTTAAAAAAAAAGAAACGAATGAGAGATGAACTCTCACCGATAATAACGCGACTGAAGGTAAGTATTAGTGACTGCTTTGCTACGGTGAGATGCCGAGCCAAAGTCAATCACTTTAACGCGAAACGGTTGATTAGTTGGATCGACCAGCATTATATTTTCCGGTTTTAGATCGGCATGTATGAGACCAAGATGCTTGAGCTTGAGTAATGCTGTCAACACCTAAATAACATCTGCTTATCAAAGCTGTTCTCTTTTAAATTAACGCCACTCATAATTAATTATGTATGGTTTTTGCTTACACGAAGTTTCATTTAATAGGAATGCACAGGCATTAATTCAACTTTTATTTTGTATACTGTACACATTCTGATTTACGGTGAGATTATTTCAAAAATTCTTTCACATTAAAAAATTTTTTGCGCTGGAATTTAAAGAGAGAAAGAAGTAGAAATGATCAATGATTCCGTGCCAGGTGAGGAACCCTCAAAGCTAATTATACCACCGAATTGCACACATCAAAAATGCGACTATTAATCTTTAGAGCGAGCAGAGCAGCAGAAAAAGGACTGGATAAAGCTTCGAACGAACCTGCTGAACGATTGGTCGAATGTTTGAGAGCGGAAGTGGTGTGAATTTGTTTTGCTTGAGAAAATCGTACAAGTTTTGTTCCAGCATTTCGAACACCAAACAAGTGTGATGCTTATGTTGAAAACATTCAAAAGCGCGTACGAAATTGAATTCTTCAGCATTTTCATTACTTAATCTTGATAATATTGAGACCTATAAAAATTCAAGAATTATTTCGTACATGATATGAATGGAATAAAGAAAACTAGAAATAATTCAGTATAATATATCTCAAAACTTCATGACCAAAACATCAGAAGTATTTATTCATTCTGAGAGCATCCGCATGGTCTCTAAATCAAAAATATAGTATATAAGATGACGCTACCAAACTCTTCAAGTGAGAAGACGTAGGTAATGAAAAAGATGAATTTTGATGAACCAAAACAATTTGAAAACAATGTCATATTTCACGATTCACTGCTACAGCTGAATAATACGTGGACGGTTTCTTATTAAGGAAGTTTTTATGAAATCAAAATGTTTACATGATCAAATGGAACGCATAAAAAAGGATAATTGAATGACCTCAATTTGCCCTTGTCGAGCATAAGACGGGTGCTTTTTGAGTATTTTGATGGCCACAATTTCATTGGTGCCTTTCTTCCAAGCTTTAACCACCTGACCGAAAGTGCCCTTACCGAGAAACTCGAGCACTTCATATTGATTACGGTAAGGTGAAACAAGCACTTCATTCTTTATTAGCTGCAATCATATGTATTTTCGTAAAAATCGCGAACAAACGCAACAAACAACCCATGTACTTTAATATACAACAGCAATTAACTATTAAGGTTAGTATCACGTGCGACTGTCTTTCAGTGCAACGTTATTGTAATACCCCTCATATATGCTATCTACACAAACCATTTCCTCACCACTTTGGTTTTTCTACTTATCATGTCGGATCAGCGATATGATACTATCAATAAAATTTCGTTGGTCTTTGATCAGAATCACTTTACAAGATATCATATTGATATCAAGTACCTCAAAATGACAACAAAACACCTAAACAATTCAAGTCAATGACGAACAACTAGTTTGCGTTTGCTACACATGCATACTTCATATCGAATAATCAAGTGATAAACATTATACGCAAACATGTCCTCATAGACTATCAATTCGCCAACAATAATCCTCCATATTTAGGTGTAACATTTTTCACCACAAGCTTCCAAATTTTCAAACTGCGAAACTCAAGTGGTGATCGAAACGTTCAGATTCATTAAATCCATCAACGTAAACGCTAGTGAAATGTGCGGATTACTTTTAATTACAAAATATCTCTTCATACTACTCTAGTCAATTTGGCTGACATCGTGCTAAATTCAAAGTAATTTATAATGGTAATTCGACCGCTGAATATTGCGCCTGAAGTCTTGAAATGATGCAAGATAAAGCGCAGTTGTTAGCATTCACTGTATAATTAATTATAACTGATCAATCGACTGAACCAGAGACAATCATAAATACAGTCTATCAATACTGACAATATATATCGTCTATCCATGTTAAATGCATTTTTTGATTTGCTCGTTATGTGAACGATCCTGCACTAATTGACATTACATTGTTTTTGGCTTATGTCATTCGCAAGTTTGTTAACTTCATTGATACCAATTCTTCGGTGGATTGTGTTACTATCAGCTGAGCCGAACTGAGTTCCTTTTAAAGTTCGTTATTTGATGTCATCTTTAGTTGATATTTAATGACATCTTAACGCAACTGTTGTTTAAATGTCAGGATTCATTAATTGTTATTCATTTTGTTCGAATGGTTTGTTCTTCATAACAATATCTATCTTTCAAACTCATCAATTGTTTGGGATATATGTGGTGTTGAGCTTATTCTGTCCGAATTATTGGTTCACAAAGCGCCAAGTGAATTTACTGTTTGCAACCACATGATAGCGATCGTTCATTTTGAATGAATTACTCACTGTCAATATGTTCAGCATCACTTCATTTTGCTGCTTTAATTGGTACTAAAAACTAATAAACGTGATCATCTTTCGCAATGCGAAATGGCACTAACAATGAGCACATATCACCTGGTATTCGCCCTCGGCACTTGGCTTCGTTCTAGCACCCGTCTTGTTTGTTAACTGCTTGCCACTCGTTTTGATCGCGACTTTAGGCACGGGAAGAGAACTGACCGTTTGACCAGATAACCCTACCTGTACGCGCTTCATCATAATCAACTGATTATACAAACAGTCATAATGGAGAAGTCAACAAATTTTAAAAAAAAAACGGCACTGTTACACACTTATAACAGCATTAGGCATAGTGCGCCTATGTAGACGTGATTGCAATAAATTAATGAATCAAATTTTCATATAATTAATCTTTCAGTTGTTATGTAAATTCCTAATTCGGCCAGTTTTCAATTAAAGAATTTCGTCTTCTTCGAAGTTCGAGATCTCGATGATGTTCGATCAATAATTTGGTTACGTTCACAGTCACCATGTACGAGACATGATAAAATTATGTTGACTGGTAATGACATATGGATAGCATGAATCAAAAACAATGGTGTGTGTCATGTGAATCGATACCTTCGTTCCTTCAAGCTGCTCGTCAGGTTTACGTTTCACTCCTGCACCACTTCGATGCTCTCCACTCGAATACTTTAGCGAAGTGTATGAATCGTATAGCTGTAAAAGGTTACCACTCTTCCCTGTACCGTTTTTCCACAACCATTATCTTGTGTTCATTAACTGAACGACTGAATAGGAAGCGTCACCTTTATACTTCTATATTTTCAAAATACTTCATAGATTTTTCGAGCGAATAGCGGTTATGGCAATTAATCAAGCTGGCCATCACTGATTGAATTTTAACATTCCATCAGACTTTTGGCGTCACTTCGAGAATGCCATAAAGCATTAATCACGATTGAGAGCGATGGAATGACGCATACGAATGGTTAATTCAGTTACTTGCTTTAATGGTGCTTTAATACCGAGCCGAACATTCGAAAATGAGCAATGAATAATCTGATATCAGCAGTCAGTGCCCATTTTTAATGTTCTGAACATGCACGGTCATTAACGAAATAAGCCGAACCGTAAAGAGAACATGCAAAGTTGTAAAAAGAGAGCAACGAATTCAAGTGTAAAAAACTCACAGCTTGGGTATGTGCTGTAGTGGTAGCCAAACTTGGCATGGGTTGTTGCTGCTGGGAAAGCAGCAAATGAGGGGCGGCAGAAGGCTGTCCCTCCGACAACTTGCGCTTTCTGGTGCGGCTACAGTCCGGATCGGGCATGCCAAAGACCTCCTTCGAGTAGCACACTTCTCACCGGGCTCCTCGAGGCACTTCCTTCACGCCGGACTCCCACCAGAATCGCGCACCCTCGATTGTGCCTTTTTCGCTCCACAGTCAGCTCGTTTAGTGAATGATTATATTTTCCAACAAAGCACACCACCAAATCTCACCCTTCCTATCTTCTGACTCTCTGTCGCCGTTTCTCTCAACACTGATGATTATTCGTAGCGCCGTCCCAGTTGTGTGCCCCTACCATTGAAACGACACTCGATACGCATCATTATTATAATCATTGAACGAGGCATAACGTTGTCAATACTAAAAACTGATCAATAGTGGTGTTTAATCGAGAAGGGTAGATAGATAAATAAAACGGGTTGAATACGGAGAGAGTATCGAATCTTTAAGACCACTAGACAGAGAGCGCACGATTGCATTGTGCCGCGCGATAGGCAACACTCGCACATAGACACTGCTGTGTCGTGTTGTGGTGTGGTGTGTGTGTGTGTGTGTGTATTCGTTATATTGTGTCTACTAGTATGTATTCTCCATATCTTGTTTATATACGCTTTGCCCAACTAATCGCGACTGAACAGAAACGGACCATCATCGAAATTACAAATCGCCAAAACTAAAATAATATATTGCGGCACTAGTATGAATAAATACATGCATGTATACACAGAAATTTATACAAGTTTTCGACCTGTTTCACATTTTCATTTGATCATTTGAAAAGTATTTCAATTCATTCAATCATTCACAAAACCTTCAATCGATCTGTAGAATCGAAACTCATCAATTTACTTTCAAAACAGCATTTCATTGCATGAAATTCACGCTCGTATGCTATTGAACAACTGAAAAACTACAGTTTTCCACACAAACACGTTTGAAGAGAGCAAGTACGGATATGTGTTGTAAGGGTAGCTTTTATGGACACATGGATTTTCGATAGGTGTAACTTAATGCTTGCGCAAACTACTTGATTTTACCAGAGCTGAATTACATGAAGCGCACAAAGAATGAATGCAGTTATGAAATCGGAGTTAAATTACTAGAACTTAATGACGAACAAATTGAACATTGACTGGTTGAAAGAGCCATCTCTGGAGCACTACACTTGTTTACTGCTGTCATACATCAAACACCAAAAACACCAGATCAATTGGCTTTCAAACCAAATAGATGAAAAATGATACAGTGACGTCGCATAACGTGTATTTTATTGATATTCTCGGTGAATGCATAATATTGTATGATGATAAAGTTATAATATAATAGAATGTGACGAATTACTCGAAATATTATACTTGATCATTTCACCGATAAATTCCGTTGTCAAAATTTCAAACTTGATAAAGAACATGAAGAAGTATTCACGTATCTTCCGAGGTAGTGATAATTATCATATGCGCTCAAGAATTCTCTCTTGAAATAAAGTGGTAATTTTGATGGCTGATGTCCAATAAACCGAAATAATAGGCAAAAATACAACTAATATCGTAAACCTGAATCCAGCTAGCTATGCGATTTTGAATGCATAACTAAATGCTCGTGCTTAAGCATCGAATGATGAAAACAAAGCGTCATCAAAAGTCATACTATAATTTGAAATAGGTGCTCATAGATGAAATGCTAGGATTTTTGAGCATCCACAACAAGCCGCAGCATCTTCCGTTCCATTGAACCAAATGAAGTCAGTCAAAAGTTAAAATTAAGTTACCGTGAGTATACTTTTCTGACGAATTACTAAAACATAATGAACAAGAATAATGTCATCTGTATTAAACGAAACCTCAACTCCGATCCAACTACAACCCTGAGAGGAATTATTTCCCTCCTCGAGATCAATAGCTTTTATCAGTAACGTTCAATTTATTTTCGATCATTGACGATAAAATAACATTTCTGATTAAAGTCACAATGAAGAACGCATTAATCGGAGGAGATTTAAGAACAACATTCACTGCAAACGTTTTCGTGACAATTATTCGTATCGTAATCGCAAACTGGGGAACAACAGCCATTTTATGAACATGCACATTTCAGCTGATGAAATTAGTAGATCGCAATCGACACTACATCATAATATTTGTAATCATTCAAGAAGAATTCACGCAACTCTCCGATATCGTATAAAGGTAAGGAGTCTGGGGATAAAGCTGTTGGCGATGCTAAGACAGCCTCGAAACCGCATTTGTGAAAGATTCGATTGAGAAAGTGGACGTAGAGGATGAATGAAATGAGTGAAAGAGCGATAGGAAAGAGATGAATAAAAGTTACGAACCACCAAAGATGAACAACATATTGATGGATGTATGCATGGATGCATGGTGAACCTCATGAAATGAATGTTTGCTAATCTGGCTAGAGATACAGATGCATGACACCAGAGTGCAAGCGTTCTGGTGAAAAGAGCTTTTCATTCGAAACTCAGTTGAAACTTTCAAAATATTCCCAATAATATTTACTAACGATCACAACGGAAAGTTGCTTCTTACTGTCAAAATTCGACATTTTCACGGTACCTTCAACGACAGTCAAGGGAACATTGGAATAATGGACATAGTTTGTAGAGTATACACTTGCATAGGAATAACAGATGAGTGCTTGAAATAGAATAACTGTAGTCAACGATCTTGCTTTATTACAGAAACAAATTGTTTTGAGTAGAACTTTCCATAAAGCAGCAAGATCAACGGAAATAGATGTCTTCGGAGCTGTCATTCTGGCATTTCGAGCAAGTATCATGTGCTTTGGACAGACATGCTTATTCCTGGCGGAGTTTGTTGTTTTGGTCTCTTGCTGAAAATATAATCCAAATATTCACACCATCACTGCATCAAAATATTTTGATAGCAATAATAGCTAAAACGTTTTTCCATGTTATTTTTATTTTCATCTGTGTGCTCATACGCTTAATAAATATTGGCGTTGGAGCATGAATCGTGGTCGGAGTCGAAAAAACGCAAACTGCAGCCAGGTACAAGAAATTTTAGCTTCGGAGCTGGGATCGGCGCTGAACTTCTAAAACATTCAGAGTGGCAGCTGGAGCTAAAATCTTTTTAAAAATGCAAATTTCGAAAATGCGAAGCCGAAGACGAAAATTTTAAAAACGTTGAGCTGGAGCTGGGCTACCTTTTTTTTCAAATCAGGCATAATTGTTTATGAATGAACCAGTTCATTTGTTTTCAGTTTATTTTCCGCATCTCACTTTCAATCGCTCAACCGACAAAAATTCACATTTTAGCGACTGCATCAACTTTAGAACCATAATCAATCAATTCGAAGAACCAGTTCATTGCTCAATTCCAAATTAACGTAAGTAGTTTTTCGATCACTTATCTTCCTGTGATATTTTCAAGCAGTTGGTCGTTGTTGCATAATATGACTTGGGTTTTGATTTTGAATGTTAATTAATTCTTTCATTAGATTTCTTAATGAATCCTCCTCTTCATCGGCAATTTTTGGGGTAACTAACAGTGAGGGAGGTTTTTGTCATTCTTCCCAACGATTCTTACGGCTACCATCAACATTAACCTTTAACGACGAAAGATCGAACCAACTGAACTACAATTCCGGATTTACTACATTTATCCGTTTCAAGATAACCGATTATAAGACTTAAGTAAACCTGGTTTTCCTAAGAGCTGATACTTTCTTGATCATTTACCACGTGTCCAAAATGGACTGTCAACTGAACAACAGACACATTAACGCTATAATGCAAGTCAGACTCCCTTCTAACGTTAGCAATATCAACGATCACCTATTTTGTTCCTTAAGCTTCAAACTTTCACTCCGTCCGATTCAGATGGCACTGAATTTAAAGATGTGTATTGTTGATTACTAACAAAAACAAGATTACTATCAAACCGTTATCGCCGATTCGGAATCTAAAATCCAAATTTCTCCACTACATCGAAATTTTTGACAGAATCGAAATAGTTCACTTTTTCACCATGTACTGCAGCAAATACAAGGTGTACACAACATAACTGACGCAGAAACGTATTGAGAGAAAACGCTTCAGAAATTTATTGCTTCGAAAATACTTCAACAATATCAAAGTAATGCTTTCCAGATTACACTCGTTCAATGAAATCACCTTCAGCACCACTCACGGCCACCAAACTATGAACAGACACGCTTAGCAATTTGGCTTCACAAATTTTGAAATACCTAGCATATTCTCTCCCTCAAACCATCGTTATTATCACTGGCAATTTTATTAGTCATCGTTTCAGTTGCACCCTAAACATGATAGTCAAGTCAAGCAAATGAATTCGGCAGGTGCATGTCAAGGACAAGGTAGTCAACAAGTTGTACTTCAACTACTTCTGAGTATTTCTGGTCAAATCCTACTTTCACAAAGATATTTTTCAAAAGACAACCTTCCCAACCGAATGCTTCTTTGTCGGAATGTTTCGGTTCGTGTTTTCCTTCATTTTTAAACCCTATTAATAAATCGTCTCTCACTGCTTACGATGCACAACGATAATCCGTTGTTCTATCTATATGTTGTTATGTCAGTTGTGTGAGCAGCCGAAAAACATTCAGTACGATCTTTTACTGCATTCATTGTAACAAGCTTTCTGCAATAATCGCCCGCACATTGGACATGGACGACCTTTGCTCATACTGGAAGAACGATAATTTCACTTGTTCCTCTGACATACTATTTCTAGATCTTTGAACCAAATTTCCCGAATTTTGTTATATTCCATTTCAATTCTTTGATGTCGATTCTCATGTCGATTCACTAGCGCGCTTTAGCACCAATTTTCATCAACTTAGTGAGCATGATCGATGAACACGAAACAGCTTTTTTTCATTACGTGGAACGCAACCACCCAATTCCATCCTACAACTGAAGTAATACTTCGACATTCATTCTGAGATAAACAGCTATGCTCTTTGTTAGTAAACAATATACACATTAATGTTCGAAATTTGGTCGAATCCTCTTCTTGAGGCCCCTTGCAGAGATGTTCTTTGCCAAAAGATAATTTATGATAACACATCGCCGAGGAATCTTTCCTCCATATTCTTTCCACCTTTGCCAACCGTTGTGAAATTTTAAAAAAATTAAAAATTCAGCATAACCGTTTTGCAAATATCGGTTCAAATAGTCTACCACGCTCTTCTATCGAGATGACACAAAACTACAGCAAGTGGGGATACAGACTGAGTTTTTCGACTTTTGCATTACATTAAAAAGTACGATCTTATTGCTGTACTCTCACTCCGTGTTTTGCTGTCTTGCTAAAGCAATCTTGACTAACTATCAAAACCCCCGTCTCACTATTCGCAGTCTTGCCTCTTTTTCTACATCATTTATACCATTGTCTGGCATGTCGTTTCCATTCAATGTGTCTAGCTTGCCTATGGAAGCTTTCAATAATTTACTGATGGAAATCTTGAAAAGTTTTTCCATTTCGAACATTCACTCTTAAGATGGCAACAATATTCACTGAGCTAGCGTACGTCATATAGTAGACATAAAGTATCAAAAGGAAGGCCACAGCTCTATATACATGCAAATATTGAACATTTTTAGCACAAAAAAAAAGAATCTAATGCATACAACCACATTTCTTGACTGGAACTTATGAATATCAGACTCAGCTTTATAATAAGTGAACATCTCGGTCCGTCATAAAAATTTGGAGAAAGGTGTAGAAATGAAATGGATTGTCATTTGACGATATCATATTAACTAAGACAGCACAAAAACCGTTCGGAGTAAAACGCTAGCAAAACTGCAGAAAATAGGTTGTACCACCACCCTTCCACGAAACATCCTGCAGTGGTGTAGGCGTATCTTTTCGACAGTTAGGACATGTATTTTCCGTTTCAAGCCATGTATGAATGCACTGTCGACAAAAGACATGTCCACATGGAAGCTGCAATATTACAGATAATTATACACACATATTACCAACTCGATTTGTTGACGCAATAAATTATTTTTAGCATTTTACATAATGAAAACAAATGTTAAAACATAAGGGTACACTTTTAGGAAACCATAAAAGGGAAACTTTTTTTTCGAAGTTTTAAACAATAAAACTGCATATCTCATTGAACCTCAACAGCTATATTCCTTTTTGACTGTGAAATTCGGGGGCTGAATATTTGCATGTTTAATTCAACTGAAAGGCTTAGAAAGAAGAACTGGAGTGAGTACGAATCACTCACGGTTTTTATTCGATACCTTCACTGAGAAAAATTTTCAAAACAATTTTTTGAATTGAAAACTCATTTGACGAATGCTGAGCGCTTTAAAATAAGTTGTGCTACCTTCAGAGGATTAACGGCATTCGAGACACAAATAGTGCACTGAGAAAAATGCGCTAAATCGGCACGCGAAGGAACCGTACCAACCAACGATAAGCCACACATAGATCGTGTACTATTATACCAATTAAGAAAATAATACGGAAGCATCATTACCTGCAAATACGATGTCTTACATGCGAACGACAATAATAATCGAGTGAAAATTTATCTGGAATCATATTCAGCTAGCTACAATTCTTCTTAACGTTCCAAATACATTTCACTTGCTGATGCAATTTTTCCTAACGCATAAAACTAGTGGTCAAGCTAATTGCCAGTAGCGCATTCAGTCGCAACAATGATACTTCCAAATTGTTAGCAATCGGATAAAAAAATTCAAAGATTCTGATGAAATTCGACGACGGGAACAATGGAATCAGATGAATGAAATATCATGAGAAAACGATAAATTTGTTGGAATTAGAATTCGTAAAATTCTCTTCACTGAAAAAGGCAAAGCTTCACACAAAACATTGTAATACCTAATTACGTTCCCATCTCACTCTGCTTAAACAACTCAATACGCCGTATATTAAATGAAAATACAGCATTATGATACTTCAAAAAAGAACTCACTTTGTATAACAGATAGAGACCAGCTAACATCATGTCAGAATAAGGCACCGTTTTATTTTCAGAATTTGAATAAACAAAGAACTGATACCATTGTGGCATTGGTAGAACACAACGACATATTTGACTGGTATATTCCAGCCATTGATAGATTCGTTGTCGGCATCGACTATTCGAAAATAAACTAGATGGAATTAAAGCCAGCTCAAAAAAAAGACATTAAAATTCCTGCCAGATGAATGTACACATACAGGGTGTTGCAAGTAAATAGAGAAAAATTTAACACAACCGTCTGCGATAAATGAATCTCAAAAATGAGGATTCAATGATCAAACGTATAGTTCTCTAGTACAACCAATGTATCTCTTTTCTGCACGTGACTACTGATGTCATAAGCAATGTTATATTATCATTATAATTCACAAACTTCAGCAAGAGATGTATGACTCTTGCCTGGCCTGGTCTCGCTCAGCTCAATTCACATCATTTTTCGTTTCGACTTACCATGAACAAATTCTTGTGTAATTTCTCGCCCCACTTCTGGAGAAGTAATAAGAGAATACTTAGAGAAATTAAAACCTTGCCTAGCAGATTGCTCAATGAACATTTGTTCATTTCATGTGAAGCAAATTTTCTGGCTAATCTGTTCCATTCAGAGGGAATGTTTTGCTGTTCGAAATCTGCTATTCTTCCCCTTAAAGCTGTGATGGACAAAATTGAGAGTGATCCAACTGAATAAAGCACAAAACTGACCACTACTTTTGTTTGAACGGTTAATAAAAGTGCAATAAAATCAACAAGTAGAACTGCACAGAGCGTCGAAAAGAATGATGAATGTGCTGACCACATATAAATCCTCGATAGGGGAAAATTGTCTGCGCCTGAATTTAATATTGCTGTTTTCGCAACAGATAGATTCATGACCGATACCGTTACAAACAAATATATTCACCATCTTGCCGTTCGAGTAACGATTCAAAAGATGTATTCGAATTATGTTACAGTGTTAGGTTTTCAAAATTTGTTATTGTAGAAAACAGAACCAGTTCAGTGTGAAGAATTTCCATATTTAAAGAATGAGTAAATAATCAGGCTCAGTCCTGTCCATAAATAATCGAAATGATTGAAACTTACCAAAAACGATAAAATTCAGAAGCATGAAGAAATGAATAAAGGCAGTCGACTCAGCGAGATGAAGATACCTTCGACCTCTGAAATAGTGAACCAAAATTCGCAAAACGCTGGGATTGCTCAAATTCATTTTTTACAACTGCTTATGTGGAAAGCTGATGGATCGATACAGAAAACAGTTTGAACGATTGCTGGTTTTATGGTTTTCATTTCAATTTACTGCTTCCTAATGACAAAGAGCTCTTGATGCACTTTGCAGACTCACAATCACATCGAAATTCTCATTTCCATCAGTTCAATTACCGTACAGTTACCTAAGAAACCGTTTCGTCAAAAACCTTATAATTTCATCAGAATTTTTTTCAACAATTTCAATGACGACTAAAAGAGAATTGATCGTTAATATCATTTAAGTGATGAGCACAGCATTACGACTTACTCGTACGAAAAAAATTCAGAACTGAGAAGTGAATGAATATGCTCTAACCTGGTACGAGCAATAAGCGCCCGGTTAGCCAAATGAAAACAAACGAATCCCACTAAAATCATCACAACGTCCATAAAACTGGTGATGAGTTGTTTACAGAGGACAAGCAGAATGAATGGTAATATATTGAGCATGATTATTGTCATCACCTACTTTTGGCAATAAATCAGTTCATTTCAGTTTACGTCACATCATATTTTATGAAACAAATGCATCACATACATTAAATAAATATGAACATAACATGGTCAAATAACATGACCACTGATTCAAAGAATATATCCTTTTGTTATTGGTTTGAAATTATCATCAAATTTTGCTCACATTGAAATTTTCAAACAAGTATTCAAACGAATTTGACAATAATTTTGAAAAAACTCGATGACCGCCTGGAAACAACTGCTAAATTTATAGGCTTCAATTTCTCAATTTGCATTCTAATAGTAAATATTCTCAAAATTAATAAATTCATTATTTGTGAAAAGCAGAATTAATTTCTCGTTGTCTCTGTCATCATTCCTTTATTGAACCAAAAATCGATGGAATTCTTTCAACTGAAGACAAGAAACCAACTCCTCCTTCTTGACACTTTTTTCTGAGATGATTTTTTGAAACGAATAATACGATATATTTTCAATTCGTTTCCAGTCATCGCAAGAATATATAATGATGTGTAACTAACTGATGAAAAATATCAACAAACAATACTTACTTCCCGTACGAACAGCCAATTGTTAAGGAATTCTCGGATATAATTAAATGAAAAGACAGGTGAACCACGGTCAGCAAATGATTGTTCACTCGTATTTGTCCTTGTCACTCCTCCTTCATTTTCTACCAAAACGTTCGATCATTCATGATTTTAAATAAAACTTATAAAAAGTTTTGATCAATTTAATTTAAACTGCTCCAAAAAGATTGCAATTTATACAACAATATTATACTGATAAAAAATTTGAAATCAATAACCATTAGGGTAATATGCGTATATGAAACGTTAAGAACTTAGGTACCATCGGTTGATAGCAATATGAGAGAATCAGATGAATTCTGTTGCTGAGTTCGTCCAAGTGTACTATTATTGTTGTCAGGTGTTGGATGCGTTGATGATATCACATCACTTTCATCATCATTACTGATAGTTAATGTTATCACCGAATGAACATTATCACTACTTTCGAGTCTCACTAAAATAATTCAATATCATCCAATACCACTCAAAAAATTACACCAGTATCACCATTTACAGAAGTAAATCAGAAGATTACATTCAAGCCCTTCCTTTTTGCAATTCATGGTTAATATCGAATAATTCTTGACAAACCCGATGATGGATTTGACGATGAGAATGCAGCACTTTCATTAGGAGCACCAATTTGTTTATTGATTAACTGAAATTACTTGTGTGATTAATTCTTACTGCTTCGTATCAATGAGAAATGGGGATAACAATCAGTCAGATTCTAGTTGGTTTAGACTGTCATGTTGTGGCTAAGCAATTTGCAGCTCGGAACAATTTCACTAGTCGGTGCTCTCCTCAGGCCCGTAAAGTCACAACACCCAATCCTTTCAACTGTACTTCAACTTGTTGGTAACATTCAATTCAGCGCAACAAATTTTCACATATTCACAGCTGTGTCCTTTTCACTTGCCAATACGCGTGAAACAGTAGATGTGAATAATTCCATTGCTATATTCATCTCCGCCTCAACACGAGAAAGAACATAAAATTCGCAATTATTGAAAATCACAAACACACATGCGTAGAATTAAGCACATCTTGATGAGAATCGCTCGGAAGCACCAACGAAGTCGACGGAGACTGAACGTCGTTGGCCATCAGTAGTCAAAACACTTTATTCTTGTAAATGATCTCGAGTTGCCTGTGTAAGAATTTTCAGAATAACGATGCACGACTAACGAAAAGCATTGCATGCCGTAGCTACTTTAGACTGCATCGTCAAGTGTTCAGGGTTTGAACCGAATATGAGTTACGCGATATTTTTTTGGTTCAAACACACTTAAAACTAATGTTCATTGAGTATATATTCCAATTACACGCAATTCATGTGACCATTAATGAAAGTTCGTTGAATCAATTCCAGTTTTGCATGTATATTAATTTTTCGTAGACTTATATCAAGTGAAATTGAGAAAAACATTCACATCATTAACAGAATGGAAAAAAATGTAAAGAGGTAATACCGCATTTTAGGTCGAGGAGAAATGAGGTGTGGCCTAACGCACACAGAACATGCGTCAGCCATTGCATGCACCAAGACAGTGTGCCACAGCTCTCTTCTTACATTAAGAAATGCTTTCTCGAGCGCGCAGAATAATTTTTATAGAAATTAATTCAATTTGAGTAAGTAAGCATGATCGCATCTAATTGTGATCCATGCAACGAAAATTGAACCAATGATAAACATTAAGCAACAACTAGGTATAGTTTGGATTCATATTATAAATATAATCAAGTCACCTGAGGTGAAGAACAGGCCAATTGCAAATTTACACTCATGTCAAAGAAATGAATCCGTATTGACCAGTATTAATCTACTGTGCAGTATCGGTCAAATGCATACTAATACACGCTGAAAGGAATCTATATTGGAATGTGTTGTTGACCTATTGTGCAGTATAGGTCAAATGCATAGCATTACAAGCTGAAATACAAGCCCAATGCCCCTCCCTCCACGTTCCGCGATGGTATTCGCGGTGGAAGAATTTCCTTTCATCTAGTTCAACCTCACAGGGTTGAAAGTTGGCGTCGATACCGCCCAACGCGGGTGCGTGGTCTTGACACCATCCGATGCAGATATCCCGGCAAAATTGTGACCAGTCTACGGTCGTATGGTTGCTGTTCAGTGCCAGCTCTGCCTCGAAAGAGATCCGCTCTTGCGGGTTGTTGATAACCCACCCGTACATAATCTTTATCAGCGTCATCAACATCAGATGACTGCGAGTAAAGAATGAGCCGAACCGGATAGATTTGGTTTTCTAACGGGAACAGTACCTCCGGGTTTAAATGACTACAGTAAGTAGACACGCCCACAAGTTACCGTAGTTAGCTACGCCCGCGCTTAACGAAAACGTTACGAATCCAGTAAAGGCACGAAAAGTGGAAAAATCAGAAACTGTCACACACGTCCATCTGGACAACTGACAAGGAATGTTCAGTGCTAATTTATTATTAATGTTAATTTTATGTTATAAGTGTCAGATCACAAATTGTAAGCTTGGTCCGTGTTTACAAATTTTAAATAGACCATCTGAACTGTAACGAAAAAATTTTAGGAAGTTGGAGTTTGTTGCTTTGATTGTCTTTTTTCGCTAATGTAGCAAACGAATGCTAAGTATTGAATAGTTGAGCTTTTGTTAGTATGTGGTGGATCGGAAGTAGTATTAGAACACAATTTATTGAATATTATCGAATTATTAATTACAATTACAAAACCAAGGAAGTGGCCGATCAGCGGCTCTTATAGTAACCAGGCGATCGACAATAATTCCAATAATAGTGCGAGAATCCCAGGAAGGTACCAATCAATGGTTGCACTATTAATAGCACAGTTGAGGATACTTTCAATTGAATTTGGGAATAACAGTTAACAATTTAATTAACCAAGGAAGACGCCAATCAGTGGCCTATTTCACAACTTCAATACAATTCGTACAATTTTCAACAATATAACTTTCGACGATAGTTACGACCTCTCCAACGGTCTGCACGAGTAGATATGAACCTGATTGCTGGGTCATCCTCTCCTCACTTTTTAAGCCGATCCTTTGTTCGTGCTTTCCCATGTTCCTGCAAGATGGTATTCGTAGATAAGGTCATCTGCTAATGCTTTTAGCTTTCAGATAATGCCTTTGTTTTGACTGTAGGTATGCATTTTTGCTGGGTATGTATCTTTTCATAAACATGCAACAAAGAGAATGCAACAAATATGCAACAAAGATGTTGCCTTTCTCATGCATTTATCTTTTGATCTGATCCTTTCACTGCATATTTTGGGAATTCGAAAAGTGCAATGTTTACACCTCCCCTTTTTCGCAAAGACCGACTCTGGTTTTTAGTTGATTAATTAATTAATTAGTTAATTTAAAAAATTTTGAATGCTTTGAACTTTTACCATTGATATGGCCAGTATATAGCTTGTACCTCCCTTCCTTGGCACAAGACCGTCTCAGGTCTGTGAAAGATAGGAAATAGTGAGGGTGCCTTACCTCGAGGCTGTTTACTTATCCGATGGCATGTCTGCATCCTCGAGCCACTTGTCGGTGAGTTCCGAGGTGACCGGTGACGTGATGACACATCCGTCCGAGTCCAGGAGAAGTCCGTTTGGAGCTCGCGCGAATTCGTCTGTCCTGAGAAGGTCGATGTAGCGAACGTCTACGATGGGACTGTCCTTAACTACCTCGCTCAGATACGTTTTCCAGGAAGGTGACCTGATTAAGGATAGAATGTCACCAATAATGATGAGGCCATCTTTGGCCCTTGATAGCGCGACAGTGATGCGCTGCTCGTCGAGAAAGAAGCGCGTCGTATCGTCGCTAGCCTGGTCAGAGATAACTCTAGTTGTGACCAGGATCACCACCGCAGCTTCTTTTCCTTGGAAGCCGTCAACTGTGTGGACGGAGATGTTGGATTCTTCCAATATGTTTCGCAGAGCATCCCGCGTCGCGGAGTAGAAGCAGAGTACTACGATATTCTTGGGGGATAGCGTCTGCAATAACTTAGTTGTAATAGCCTGTGCGGCTAATTCTTGTAACGCGTTATGGCGTGACATGAGGAAATTCATGTCGTCAGCTCCTTCAAGATGCAGAACCAAGATTGGTACATGCTGAATAGGAAGTGGTAATGTGGAGGTGATCATTTTTGGCCGTTCGCCGCTCTCAATCGCCGCGACGAGTGTGTTCTCATATGACATGCTCGAGAGACACCGGGTGAGAATTGGGTGTGAGCGGTAGTTCATGTCCAGCGAAATGATGGGAATAGTTTGCCTTCTCATTATCGTTTGAACCGCACCCATGAAGCCATATGGAACGAGGTTGTCAAGGATGTTAGCCTTGTAGGCCGGCAGTTGCTTCGCATCCCCGGTCAGAAACAGTTGTTGGAGCTCAGGAAGTGAAGAAGCAAGGCCATACAACTGAGCATCGGGCACGAGACCAGCGTCATCTATAATGCATTGTGTGATGAAGGGCCATAATACACGATGAAGATTTTCTGCCATCGCAGTGGTCATAACAAAGACCTTGTACTGCCCAATGGATAGTACCAGTTTTAAGGCCCTATCTTCGCAATCGGGGCGGCCATCATGGCTCAGTCGACGGGCAATGTACCGTCGAGCGAAGTGGAGATCCGTGGGATTCGTAATGAGGTTTTGTTGAATGGCATCGTCAAGGATCTCCGGCAATCGATACTGATCTCTGGTGGCCGGGCCGTCCACGTGTCGTTTCTCTGCCGTTAGTGACTGCACGAATAGGAGCGTATGTCGCGATAGGCCTGGCTGAATGGTCAAGATGGCGTCAGCTAAATTAGCAACTGCAGCATTAGTGGCTGCAGTGACTAGCATGGCACCAGATGTAGGTAATTTCTGCAAACGTTCTTTGACATAAGCAGCAATAACAAAGGTTTTACCGGTACCAGCCGGAGCTTGTTGAAATAATATAGTGGTGTTGCCATTTAGGCATCGAAGAACACGTTGTTGACATGTGTTCAACGTTGTGGTGACGAGGCTACTGTCGTCTTCTATCAATGCGACAGGATCACCCATCCCCAGTAATGCCCTCACGATGGTATCCTTGGGTTGAGGGTCGGAGGTAATAACCGAATAGGAGAGGTCACGGGCTTGGAATTGGGCAATTCGGAACTCAAGACCTGTCCTAGCAACATCTGGGATGATATAGAGGGGTTGTCGTTGCTCGGCTATCCACGGCGCCCGATCTAATAGGTCGGTTAATGCCTCTTCTGCGACGTATATGTCGGCGACAATGTTGCCGAATTCGTCGATCTTGACTGATTGGATGACACCAGAGGTGCCTCTAGATTGTTCTGTTTCCGTTCCGGGTTGATCTTCCGTCATTTCAGGGTAGGAAATAATCAGCATTTTTGTGTCCTCTTCCCAAAATTTGACTCGCATTGCTAGAATAGTAGTGTTGGTTATGGTAGAGTGGAATATACGAATGCCTTGCGGAATAAGAGAATACGATCTATCATTAAATGCGGTGCGTTCCATAGCAATTTTAACTCGGTACCTGGCAAGTAATGCGGCTGCGAGAAGGGTGTCTTCATATTGGAATGCAATTTGTCGGATGGAGGCAAGCGCAGTTGCTCCGCTAGGTTGAAAGGGGTCAATCTGTAGGGCAGGTTCATTGGGGTCCATCTGTCGTACTACTGTAAGGGCGGCTTCAGAATCAGGAACCGTGACGCGATGGAGTCGTGGTTCGGTTCTGTATCCACGAGGAAGAACAAATGTTTTGGCTATTTGAGATCCAACAGGTATAATTGTTTGAATAGCAGTAATGAGGGTGCCATCTGGTGGCGTATTTTGTAAGCTCTCATCAATCTGATGATCGGCAGCGGCAGCAAGCTTAGGAACATACCTGCCGATGTAGTAGAGCTGTGTCCTCGCGGCTCTGCGCCCAGACGTTGAAGTAGAGGTATGATTGATGGCGCAAATAGTGTGCTGCACATTGAGGGACGTGGGACAATGTTGCAGTGTTACGCCCAGTGCATGAGAGACGATTCTTTCGCTGACAAGTTGGCTCGAAATGGGGGCTGAGCCGTATGCTTGCCATGGAAGCAAATCAGTGCCTCGCATTACTCGACGATATGCGTAAACGAAGTAGTGGTCTAGAGTGAACATCTGCTCGCGGCGATATCCGGTTTGAATAATGGTTCCTTGGTCATCTACAAATTGAGAGGTTTGATTAATCGAAATGATGGCAGGTGCTGTACGCATGATCTCATCACTTTGATCTGGGGCGAGTAGAAGAGTAGTTCGGGCACGCAAAATTTGGGACACAACGTAGACCACTGGATCGTTGAAAGTAATGAGTTCTGAGAATTCAAGATGTTGTGATAAGCCAGCAGTGTTACGAGTACGGCGTGGAGGGTTTTGTGATTGAGATGAGAAATGAGGCGGCCATGTTAGGCCATTAGAACTTGCGGGCGTCGCCGACGGGTTCTGGCGGCGTGCGCCTCGCGCTGCACGACGTGTCCCACTGACGTTTTGTCGTAGGGCTGGCCCACGTTCGGTCTGTTCAGCAGTCGGTCGCTCAAAGGGTTGTTGCATCCCGATGCTGCCTGAAAATCATAACACGAGATTATCTAGGTCTCAGATTGTACTTGTGTTGTAATGGAATCTGTTGGTCTACTGGTACCGTAGATGATTCATATGAGTAGCCTGGGAGATTTATCTGTTCTTCATGTGCATCTCTTAAGTTGCTATGCTCCTCTTCAGTTATGGCGGGTAGGGTGCGAGCAGGACCCTCAAGGTTAACATATTTCTTGATTTGATTGAGGTGTACCCTAAACGGATTCGCATGTGGCGTAGAGCAATTGACAATAATGGCATGAGGAACTGTTATTTCAATTATTCGGTAGACTCCAGTCCAAGGAAGATGAAATTTTTTGGAATCACCGGGTTTCATTACGTTGCGCCGTAACAGAACGCAATCTCCTACTCTGAGCAGCGTGTCTTGAGCATAGGCGTCATATGCTAATTTTATTCTGTCCTGTGCCTTCTTATTGTAATCATAAGCGATATTCCAAGCTCTTCGCAGAGATGTGATCAAGTTAGATCGGAACTCCGCAACGTCCGTATCAGTGTTGATGTCTTGAATGGACGGTTTGAACATACTTTCTATTGTCAAACAAGGGTCGCGTCCGAAAGAATGGGCTTTCTCCTGTCATCTCGTTCATTGACGTATTGTAGCAGAACGCCATGAAAGGAAGAAACTCATCGAACTCATTGACTTCGTGTGAAATATATTTGGATAGCATATTCTGAAATGTCCTAAAGGATCGTTCTACCGCGCCATTGCCAGCTGAGTGATAAGGTGTGGAATATCTTTTGTTAATATATAAAAGATTGCAAAATTCTCCGAAAAATGATGACGTAAAAGACGTAGCATTATCTGTGGTGAGCTGATGGGGCGAACCATAAATTAAGACACAATTATGCAATAAAGCCTTTACTAGAGTTGTAGCTCGCGCGTCCGGCACGGGTACGCTTATGACGTATTTACTAATTGTAAATAGGCAAATTATATTTAGTATATATTTGTTATCATTCGCAGTAGTCCTGAAGGGTCCACACAAATCTAAACCGATGTTATTCATGATAGCCATACTTGTAACAGGGTTCAGTGGAACTTTAGGATGGATCTTAGGATCATGTCGCATCTGACATGTAGGGCAGTTTTTAGTCCAGCGATATAAGTCTGAATATTTGGTATCCCAGTAGTAGTTCTGTGTCTTTCGAAATACCTTCTTGAAGTTAAGGTGACCTCCAGCTAAAGGGGATAAATGAAAGTAATCAAAAATCATTGGTCGTATAGCAACCGGTATGACAAAGGGATATTCTTGTCTCGTTCGGTGCTTATCATTAGGAAGATGAAATCGTAGGCAACCGTTAGCATCTAATGAATATTTCTTAGCGTTATGAACGAATTTCTCAATTTGCTTAATATCATCAAGCTTTGGGATCGTTCCATCGGTTAAAAATCGTATGATAGGTCGTAGTTGAGAGTCCGCACGCTGTTCCTTAACAATATCGATGAGATATTTACTGCCAGCCTTATTGAATACTGCGATCTTATTGCTGGGTGTTAACGCCATGATTGATCGTACATTATCCACGTTCAAGCAGACAGGGAATTCTACAATGCCTTCAAGCTCGGGAGCTGTTTGTGATTGGGTACAGTTATCTTCGTCGATTCGAGATAGAGCATCCGCTACTCGGTTTTGTTCTCCTTTAATAAACTGGATAGAGACGTTATAATTTTGAAGTTCAATGATCCATCTCGCCAAGTTGGGGTGCGCAGAGGGTTTGCTCAAGACATAAGACAGCGGTTTGTGGTCACAGTGAACTGTGCATTTCGACATGAAAATATAAGGTCGGAAGCATCGAAGGGAATACACAATAGCTGCTAATTCAGACTGTATTATGGGCCATCTCCTTTCGCTTTCTGATAGTGTGCGACTGCAATACGTAATAGCAGAATATTGAGTAGTTGAGCCATCAACTAACTGCATCAGCGCTCCCGCTATTGCCACTGTCGAACTATCTGTGAATATATGGAAGTCCTTGTCGTAGTTGGGAAACGTTAAGACGGGTTCTTGAAGCAGATGTGTCTTGATGGTCTCGAACGCTTCTTGTTGTTGAGGTCCCCAGTGAAATCGTTGATTTTTCCTTGTGAGTTCAGTAATTGGTGATGCCATCTTCGCAAAGGCAGGTATAAACCGCCGATAAAACCCAGCTAACCCGTAGAATCGTCGTGCTTCAGCTAATGATTTGGGAGGATTAAGATTTCTGATGATATCTAAATTTGCCGCACCAGGCGAATAACCTTGCTTATGAACCGTGTGGCCTAAGAAGGAGACTGACTTCCTAGCTAGCTTACACTTCTTTGGAGATAAGCGCAGGTTGAACTGGCGTAGCCGCTGAAATACTTTCTCTAGCATATGCAAATGATCACCAAAGTCAGAAATTTCTGGTGTTCTTATATAAGTTAATGGGTTGATTAGTTGGGTTGGAAATGAGTATCCGAACGTCACCTGAAATGGGTCTGATAATACCAGGAGTTATTGCTAGATCATATAACCGTGGATCAATGGTCTCAATCAGAAATCCATCCGCACGCTGGGACACATTTCCATCGATGATGCAGTTTACGAACATTTCAGTGTTGGGAGGTATCGTCGTATTGCTACTCAGTTGAACAGGGCTATTGGTTAGTTTTACTGTTCGCGGATCACCCAATCGAAGGCGGGTTCCTCCTATCGTAAGTAATCCATTGTTGATATCGATTGCAAAGGGTGGAAAGTGCCCCATAATATCACAACCTATTATAACGTCATACGACGTCTTTCGAATATACGAATTATCAGTGAAGTACAGATTACCTTGAATTGTAATGTTGGCTATCGTAAAGTTTACTTTGGCAAAGCCCTTGATATTCAGTGTATGCCCCGAGACACCTATCGCATCGCTTACGTCAGGGGTCATTAATACGTCGAGAGTATCAATTCAGTCAGAGGAGGTTAGCGTCAATGCTGATCTTGTATCTATCAGGAAGCTGCAGTTTGATTCAATTTCCCGCAAATTTGCGCACTGAACGTATTACCTAGACTAGCTACGTCTGATATGGGCTCAGGGATGGATATGCGCGGTGACCAAAAGTTTTGTTTTGAGCGCTTGTCCTGAGAAGTAAAAGATGTTGATTCTATTGCTGCACCAGCAGTTTGTATGACGATGTCAATGTTGGTTCCGGCGGAGTCACTCTGCCCATGTTGCTCGCGACGCAAAACTTGCCAAGTTTTGAGAAGGTTAGGAACTATCAATCGCGCGAATGCTTTACTTAATGGTAATTATGAAGGAGACTGTAGATATGCAGACATTCCACAGTGACTCAAACATTGTGAATACTCTGAGTTGGTCAAGTATTATTGATCCTTGAACGGCAGAACGTTCCTCACCATGCGTTGTTATTCGCGACATGTGCTCGTTAATCGTTTGTTCGATACTCATATAGTGCGCGGCCGCAGTCAGATGAACGGATGGGAAACACTCAGTTAAGTTGCTAATTAACATATGATGGAAGGTTGTAGTTGGAATATTGGGTAAGACTTGATGAGATTGTAAAAGTGAGAAGGCGCTATTACTGATTGATGAAATCTGAGAGTTAGGTATCATAGTTGTGGTGCCAATCAATTGGTCTACTTAGTAAAGATTACCTAGTATTTGAACTGGAACGTAGCGTGAAAGGCTACACGGAATTGTTTTAGAGAATTGAGATACGATCATCGTAGTTGGATCTATGAATCCTTGAATGGTGTGATAGGATACTCGCACCTCGATGGGCGGAAATTCGTAGCACGTGTCATTATCAATGGCAGATTTAGAAATGAAAGAGAAGTTCGTTACTGGAAGACAAGGCCAGACTTCTAAGATCGTGGATGCAAGTCTTGCATGAATGTGCGTTTCATTAAGAATAGCGCGGGCTGCTAACGTAGAGTTTTGAGCAAGTAGTACTCGCAATTGTCTAGCCATGTTATTTATCATTTCGCAAATATGCATTACGTGTTGTCGGAAGGATATCTTCATAGACTGGGTTACGGTTAACTCAAGGGCTTGGAGTTGTGATGCCAGTTGATTAGTCGTGACTGATCCGCTGAGAGTGAACGGAGAAATTGACCTCTTCATTCGGTCACTACGCACGAGGAATTCAGTCCAAGGGATAGCGTATGCCTGATCACTTATTAATAAATCGATACCACAATCATGAATGACGTTCTCTTGATTAGTGAAAGACAGAGCAAATTCTTTAGACTGGGCAATCTATACGTTGTCAATCTTATGTCCAGCCCAAGTGTTGACCTTGATTAATTGGCATTGTTGTTGTTTGAGAGGAGTCCATATAAAGAGCGAATTATCATTAAGAGCACAGTTACCTTCCTCATATTTACAAACATTCATATCTCCAACTGATGTAAAGAGTTCTTCGTTGTGAAACTTTGATGATACTATTGTTCCAATAAGAAAGCAATTAGTTGCCTCTACTTTTCTCTCACTGAAACTCACTATCAACGGATATGGAAATTGGAAGTGGACATCATTGTCCGTCGGTAGTATTTCTCCTTTAAGAATCAATTCACCATAGCTGCACCGTTTGTGTCTGATCATCATATCACACTCTGATGATGAAACAGGCATATGCGTCACTTCTGTTCTAGTGAATTTATCGTTGAATAAATTAGTGTAATAATAGATCGTTTGCTTGATTATACGACAAAGAGATGCATTGGTATGATATCTTAAGGTATTAGGTCGGTATATTGTGAAAGAGACATCGTTTATCTGAGAGTGATCTGAGTAGTTAACTTGAGGACATGGCATGGGGTCAGGTATCTGCCAGAACATTCTGGATTTATCAATTTGGCATAGCAATGGCAATTGTGGTTCCATCATAGGATAATTTATGACAGTCTCAATAGAGATTGGATGAGACTGAAAGAAAGCTAGTAGAAGAATGATGCAGAGATATCGCATGGTATGTCTGAGAGAGACATGATTGTGCATAATTGAGCGTGGTGAAGTGGCAGGTAAAGGAGCAGACAGTTTAGATTGTGCTCATGGTTTAGATAGAGTCAGATGAGTTAGCGTTGGAGAAGTCAATGTTGAGACAGGATAGCGCGTATCTGCAACGTCATGACTCACATCAGGATATGCCAGCTTAGCTAATCTCTGATTCTGATCCAGCAATTTGGTAACTTTATTCTCCGAGGCGCGCAATTGCTCCTGCAGCTGTGAGATCACATTATCATTTATTGAGTTGACGACATTATTCGCAGAAGACATTCTACTAACGTAGTTGACATCTCGTGACCACCTAGCGTCAGACTGACCTCGACCTACATTGCGAGTATGATCAATACGAGTAGATGTCTTAGTGTAGGCTTGTTGATGAACGGGAGGCCTAGCAGGAGATAAGTCAGCCGGGGGAATTCTCCGGTAACAATTATATGCTAAGTGTCCAACTTTCCTACAGTAGGTACAATATGGCCTAGTGTCGTAATTTCTTTCGCATCTTTGTAACTGTCTCCTGATCCTGGCGTCATAATATGAACGGGTTGGGTTACTTGCCCTGTTGTCATATTCCTTCGGATATCGATCCTGTCCATGAATACCATTCCTATCTGGGCCGTAGTACCTGTTCGAGTAAAAGTTCTCACGCCTCAAGCGATCACGATTATCATAATGGTCCCTTCCTAATGCTCGCGATGGTCGATCATCAAGCTCCGGTGTTGTTGGTCTGGAGTTACCAGCCGAGCTATTGCGTCGTTCATCATGTCGAGTCTTAGCAAGGGCCATCATTTCCTTTAAAGACTCGGTTATCTCACTCAATTGTTGTATGGATGAAGACAGACCAGGGCTCATTTCAGTCGTCATGATGGGATTTCCAGTTGAAGGGTTAATAGTGGCTGCAGCAGACCTAGCATGTAACAAGTTTTCAATGTGTAGGGCCTTCATGTGGGCCTCCTCAAAAGAAGTAGGCTCGGATGCTTTGACATGAAAAGAAGTATCAGGAAGTAGCCTATCCAAGAAGTAGTCCATAAGACTGTCCTTAAATGTTTGCTCGCTTAAGCCAACGGTGGCAGCCCTAACCGCTTGCCTTAATCGCTCTGTGAACGCATTAACGCTCTCGCCTTGCTACTATTTGCACATTAATAGATTTTGCCGAGCAATGTTGCGCATTTTTGGTGACTCAAAGAGATCTCTCAGCTTCTGAATAACAAGATTGAAATCATTTTTGGTTGCGACGTCAAAAGTTTCATATTCCTCACGAGGTGAGCCATCCAAAAAGAATTTGATCTTTTGCGCTTTCTGAGTTATTGTCCATGGCACAGTCTGTGCATCAGCGTAATCATTAAATTTTCTAAGCCACAAAGAAAATGACATAGCACCTTCACTTGTAAAGGCAGAAATTCGGAGGGTTCCATCTTGGAAGCTTGAAGACAGTATTAACAGCTGTATGAGTCAAGACGCTATCATTAGGAGAAGAGTCGCTGCTCAGATCATCATTATCAGACAAAATTACCTCAAATGGATCAGACTTGATGCGCAATGTTTCATTAATCTTATCAATCTTTTCAGATATTAGTTTGAACGCATCGTTAATTTCTTTACATCATCTACCATTAATATTACGTTGATTAGTTTGGTCGCGCGAAATTGATCTAATATCTCTATTCACTACTTGTTCAAATGTTTGTAATTTGGATATGAGATTATGAAATACTTCTCGAGTAATTATTTGTTCGTCATTATTTAATTTAATGTTGAATAATGAATTCATCACACAAAGTTGAAAGACTTACTACTGAGGTTGGCTGGTTCGCTTGAATGCGCACACACAGTATTGACTTGACAGTAGTGTTTCAAGAGACAGTATCGGTTCGATATTGATGCTGTAATGAATGGTCAGATTATAATACGAAGCTTACTACGGAAACAATTACAATACTGTTAATGCCTGTGAACTTTGAAACGTGACCGAAACTGCAGATCAATTAACTGATTCAAAGAACTTAAAATTAGGCATTTGAAAAGCATATGAACGTAAACGATACAAAAATGAACTGAAGTTGATATTTTCGGAAATGAGTTCGATAAAATGAACTTTCGAAAACGAGAGAATGACGTAAAACTCACAGCAAAC